AGATTTCTCAAAGAACTAAAATTGGAATTACTATTCAATTCAATAGTCCCTAATGGGTATCTACCCAAAAGAAAATAAATCATCATATTTAAAAAGATACCTCAGCCGGGCTTGGTAGCTCAGCCTATAATCCTAGCACTTTGGGAGGACAAGGTGGGTGGATTGCCTGAGCCCGCGGGTTCGAGTCCAGCCTGGACAACGTGGCGAGACCTCATCTCTACAATAAATCAAAAATTAGCCGGCCATGGCACCTATAGTTCTGGCTACTTGGAAGGCTGAGGTGGAAGAATCGCTGGAGTCCAGCACATCAATGGCTGGGGTGGCTGTGAGTGTGCCCTGGCACTCCAGCCTGGGCGACAGAGTGAGACTCCAACTAAAAAAAAACACCTAAAAAACCAAAAAAACACACCTCTACTCATATGTTCATTGTAGCACTACTCACAATAGCAAACTCATGAAACCAACCCAAGTTGCCCATCAACAACTGACTGGATAAAGAAAGTGCCCATCAGCAAATGACTGGATGAAGAAAGTGATATATATACACCATGAAATACTATGCAGCCACAAAAAAAGAATGAAATAATATGTCCTTTGTAGTGACATGGATGGACCTGGAGAACATCATCCTAAGTGAATTAACTCAGAAACGGAAAACCAAACACCACATGTTCTCACTTATATATGGGCATTAAAGGGACATAAAGATGAAAATAGAAGACACTGAGGATATTAAAAGAGGGGATGAGAGGGGAGGAAGGAAGGGAGGTGAAGGTTTGGAAGTTACCTATTGAGAACAATGTTCATTATTTGAGGACTGGGGAAACCCTGAAGCCCAATTCCTACCAGTACACAGTATACCCATGTAACAAATTGCACTTGTACCCTCTGAATCCAAAAGAAAAAAATCCAATCTTATATTCTCAGGATAAAACCTACTTAGTCCTAAAGTATTATCATTTTTACATATTGCCGGTTTTTTTGTTTTTGTTTTTTTTTATTATTTTTATTTTTTTTATTAATCAATTATTTTTTTATTATGGTTTTGTGGCGTACAGTTAAGGGTTAGGTGTACAATTACGTTTCATTCAGGCACCCTGTTGATAAGAGGTGTTTTCCCACCCCAGGCAGATATTTGCTACTGTTAATCCCATCCCCCTCCCCCCCCATAGTTTCCCAGTACCGTCAGTCATTTTCTTATAGTATTACATTGGATGTTCAAGGTGAGTGAGAACATGTGATACTCGGATCTTTGTTTCTGTGAGAGGTCACTCAGTATTATAGACTCTAGTTCCATCCAAGTTGCTGCGAAATTCATGATTTTGTTCTTTTTTATGGCTGCGTAGTATTCCATCGTGTATATGCACCACATTTTTTTAATCCAGTCCTTTTTTGATGGGCAACATGGTTGTTTCCAGGTTCTTGCTATTGTGAACAACGCTGCGATAAACATACATGTGCAGGTATCTTTTTTATAGAGTGATTTGAGTTCTTCAGGGTATATTCCCAGTAGGGGGATTGCGGGGTCATATGGAAGGTTGATTTTTAGAGCTTTTAGGAATCGCCACACTGCTTTCCACAGAGGTTGCACTAGTTTACACTCCCACCAACAGTGTAGAAGTGTTCCCTTTTCGCCACACCCTCTCCAGCAGCTGTTATTTTTTGAGTTGTTGATAATTGCCATTCTGACTGGAGTTAGGTGGTATCTCAGTGTGGTTTTGATTTGCATCTCCCTGATGATTAGTGAGGTTGAGCATTTCTTCATGTGTTGGTTGGTATTGCCGGTTTTTATTTGCTAATATTTTCTTAAGAGTTTTTGTGTCTATGTTTGTAGTTTCCTTTCTTGTAATCTCATTAATTTGTTTTATTATCATAATAATACTTCATAAAAATGATTCAGGAAGTGTTCTATCATCTTTTAATTCCTGGCAGAGTTGTACAGAATTGATATTATTTATTAAATATATCCTTGGTAGTATTTTACAGTAAAGGCCTGGAGTTTTCTTCAGCGTAAAGTTTTCAACTTCAAATTAAATTTTTTAACTACATTGGACTATTCATGTTTTCTATTATTTTATTTTATTTTATTTTATTTTTTTGAGTCAGAGTATCACTCTGTTGCCCAGGCTGGAGTGCAGTGGCACACTCACAGCCACCTGCCGGGCTTAGGCAATTCTTTCGCCTCAGCCTTTCAAGAAGCTGGAACCACAGGTTCACACCATCATGCCCAGCTAATTTTTTTTTTTTTTTAATTATAGAGAGGAGGTCTCGCCACGTTGCCCAGGCTGGTCTCAAACACCTGGGCTTAGGCAGTCCTCTTACCTCCACCTCCCAAAGTACTGGGATTATAGGTATGAGCCACATCACCCAGTTTCTATTGTTTTCTTGAAAAAATTTTGGTAGTTTGTGTCTATCAAGAAATTTTTTCATTTAAGGTTTTAAATTTATGAACAAAATGTTTTGCTCATATCATTCCTTATTGTCCTAATATCTTTATGATCTGTAGTACTGTTTCCCCATTCATTCCTGCTGTAAGTAATTCATGTCTTCTCTCTATTTTTCTAATCAGTCTGGTTAAAGGGTTATTAATTTTATTCGTCTTAAAGAATCAGCTTTTGCTTTCATTCATTTTCTCTACTGCTTTCCTGTTTGCTGTTTCAATGACTTCTGTTCTTAATTAATTCCTTCCTTATGTTTGCTTTGGTTTAATTTGCTTAACTTTTTTTACTTTCTTAAAATAAAAGCTTGATTTGAGACCTTTCTTCTTTTCTAATTAAGCAAATATACTGGAAGTTTCCCACTGCTTCAGCAGCATCCATAAACTTAGATATGTTGTCATTTCATTTTCACTTAACTCAAATATTAAAGTTTCCCTCTGGAGTTCCTCTTTGACCTACATGTCATTTAGAAGAGGGTTGCTTTTTTCCAAATCTTTTATTTGGTTGTTGATTTACCTCAATTGGTTTATCCAATCATCTGTTGTTGGACATTTGGATTGTTTCTAGCTTTTTCCTATTATAATAGTGCTGCTATGAATAGTCTTCAATATGGCCATGATGGTTCACATCACTAAACACACAAACTTCTAGTTGTGTTAATTAGAAATTCTGTGAATTGTACATTAGAAATCTGATTCCATTCTCTCTTCAAAGGTCATAGTATATTTTGGATTTTGGATACAATCAACTTGGATAAAATATGTAAATGTCGATGGTCTTCTTTAATTCTATGTACCTTTTGGATGTGTTATATGATTTCTGAACTGTACTAGGTGGGAGAATCAATGCAGTTCTTTTATTTTATAGAGTTGATGTTCTATTCTAATCTGTTTCTTGATAATAGTATAATCTTGAAAATAAATTTGATAGTGAAAAAAGTAGAAATTAATGATTAGAAAAATATTGTAATATTACCTGTGGATGTCAATGATCCTATCCATAGGCATAAAAAATTACTGAAAGATGGATGTAAATGGAAATAGGAGTTTGATAAGGTATGGTAAACGATCACAGTAAAGATGTTGACAATGTTTAATTTTTTTCTGTAATGAAACTGTAGTTATATAAGATTATTGAAGCAGATATAATTAAATGGGGAAACTTAGATCATTAAGACAGAGAAATCTTGGTGACTTTCTAAATCTTATCTCATCTATGTAAGTGAATACTCAGCACTTTGATTTCTGCTGTGTCTCAAAAGTTGCTTTCTTCAACTTTTCAAAATGGTTGAGGACTAGAAAGAATTTACCAGACATTTAAAAAGGGATGAATGCAGCAACATGGCTAATAGTATTAACAATACTGGTCACAGAAAAGCTCGAGGAATGCCTAAGTAGTGGTTTAACCCACAATTGGGGAATTAAAAAAAAAAAAAAGATATTTTTACCAAGGTTAATGTTAACACAGGGAAGAATAATTAGAACATTCATTCTTTGGTATACCATTTATCCTAGGTTACATTTATCAACTTGAATCATTTTCTTGAAACAGGTCCTGTATTCCTCAGAATCATTAGGACTACTACACAATGCTATATTTGGTTGACTTTTCATATCTCCTGCATTTCACAGCAAGGAACTAGTTTTAGACAATTATACGCATTAACTACCAAAGACATAGTGACTCAAGCAAACAAATGATTATCTCTCAAAATCAAATTAATAGATATTCAATGAATAAAAGTTATAATTGTTCATAGGATGATATTTAAGATGTAAATATTTGATTATTTACAAAACATGCATTGAAATAATTTTGGCCTAAGATCAAGATGATTTAGGAAGACTGATAAATAATCTTAAGTCTTTATATAATTGGTTTCCACTCTACTTGAATTCTAACCATCTTTGCAATTTCACAAGAAGAAACAATTATATAATCCTTTTAAATTTCTCTCTCTTTTTCTATTTTGGATCCTTATGCCTTTTGTTACTCTCAATTCCTGCAAGGTTAGTTTTTAAAAGGTAGAAAGAAAGAGAGGCAAAGGAGAAAATAAAGATTAAATAAAGATAAGATGTCAGAAAGTGAAATGATCAAGAGACCAGCTATCAATAAAATTAAAAATAAAAAAAAAGCATGAAATAAAGTTCAGAAAATAAGACTGAAAAACCTTTGTACATGTGATGGCAACTACTACTTCTGTTGCTTAGATTATTTCTATGAAATAAAAAAATGCTTGGTGAAGAATAGATTTATAAATATACTAGTATATGCCATATTCTTTCTCAAACAATTTTGTTTCTAAACATAAGAAGTCTGTAACTAGGAGAAGACAACAATATTTTTAAGCAATCATTAAGGGCTAAACCATGATTATGCTAAATAGTTAAACATTTTTTAGTGTTATCTCTAGTTTGGCATTGGTATCATAAACATTTACACTTCAAAAGAAATCCTTTCCACATCTTTAAAATAAAATTTAAAATTAAAAAAAAAAAAGAAATCCTTTCATCATCTAAAGTTCTCAATGGAAATATAACATGACAGGGGACTTCTGGTTACCGTTTAAATCTGAAGCACTTCATCCATGCTGGTGACAAAGGTGGCTTTAGCAGCTAGCATGACATTCCTTTAACATTTCAAAGTGCTTTGGGTCTTCCCAAGATGAAAGTCTTTTCGTCCTTGCCTCTCATTCCTTCCTTTCTGAAGGTAGCAATGTTTACTGCAGGAGAAAATAAAATAAAGTAGAGCTAAACTGAAGAGCAATCTAGTTTCAAATGTATTCAACATCTTTTTCTTTTTTTTACACCCTCACTCTACATTATAATTCATCGAATTCATTTAAGAAATAACTTCCTTACTTAGGTGAGGACACAGATAGAACCTCTCACACTCAAGAACTCCTCATGGCATATCTAAGAGCCAAGTAACTTGCAAGACTCAAAAGAGCACTGATGCACTTGATATTTTCTATGTCTTTTTTGATTGCCCTTGTAGATTTTACAAGAATTATATGTATATTAATTGAATAAGTCATTAAACTTGACTTCACCTTTACAAAAATATAAATCGGAAAGTCACAATGTCCAGCTTTGGGACAGCCTCTGTAAAATATTGAAAGCAGTCATCTTCAAATGCAAATATTTCAAATATCACCAAAAATTAAATTAACACATTTCTACCTATTTCTGACTCTTGGGCATCTATTATATGTATATTCAAAACTGGCCCAACTCCCAATTTTTTTCTCTATGACACCAAATACAAGAAAAATAACTGGAAGAGTTAAGTAAAAAACAAAAGATAAATGTGATTACTTTAAAATAATTCCTAATTGTACTTACATACTCTAAAAATCAACCCCTTTAATAAAATAAATACAGAAGTAAAAATATAGAAAAGTATTTTAGAAGTTTTTATAAGTGTACCATCAAACATTATCTAGATTCAACACAGCTAGCTTATTCATGATGAAAACACCACCCAGTGTTCTCACATGGCTTACAGCCATTGCTCCATGTGGCACATAACTACGTTGAGCAGTATGCAGGAGAACTATTATGAAGTACTGACATCGTCAATATGTATTTGAAGTAATGATGATGCCCAAGATCACATATCCAGGCAGCAGTAAAATTACTTAGTCTTCTTCCCATTATAAGAGCCCGCGGAGAAGAAAAATACAATTTATGCCAATTTTATTTCTAAATTTGAACATGAAAAAGTTGAACACATGGGTATACAAATATTGGTAAACCTAGAACATTACTTAACAATGGAGAGAGAAGTGAAGCGATTTTATAAAGGTAGGTGTCTGGCTATTGGTAAAACTGAAAGGAAAACCCAGATCTCCTTACTCTTTCCTAATGTAGTGTTCTACTGACATTTTATAAGACTGTCGGCAGTACCTTCTAAGCTCCCAGAGTTGTTTTTTCTGATTATTTTATTCTTGGACTTGTAGATGTGTCATCTTAATAGTCACTGAAAGCTCACCCAAAAATATAAGAGGCAAAGAGACATAAACAGTGTTTAATTAGGTCTCCACATTTTAAATGTATGATTTGTAGACAAGATATAATGGGCCTTATAGTTTTATTCAGTCTAAAGATGTCTGGCTCTATTTTTAAATTTAAATTTTTTTTTTTTAATTTTAAAGATGTGGGGTACAATTCAGGATTAGGCCTACGAGTGGCCATTGTACAGGTAAAGTTTGGGCCTCTCTTTGGTCCCCACTTTGCCTGGTTTGAGATAAGGTACCCTTATTGATGTTATGTGCCACCACCTCCAGTAGCTTCCGACTACTGCTAATCCCTTTCTTATAGTATTATGGCAAACGTTCAAGGTCCGATTATAGAGAGAACTTGTGATACTCAGTTGTTTCTGTGATAAATCACTGAGTATTATAGACTCTAAATCCATCCAAGTTGCTGCGAAGTTCATAATTTTGTTCTTTATGGCTGCATAGTATACCATTGTGTATATGTACCATATTTTTTTTTATCCAGTCCAGTTTTGATGGGCAGCACAGTTGGTTCCATGCTTTTGCAATTGTAAATAGTGCTGCAATAAACATCCAAGTGCAAGGATCTTTTTTGTAGAGTGATTTAAGTTTTTTTGTAGAGTGATTTAAGTGATTTATATTCCTAGAAGAAGGATTGCTGGGTCACAAGGAAGGTCAATTTCTAGTTTTTTTAGAAATTACCACACTGTTTTCCACAGAGGTTGAACTAGTTTGCATTCCTACCAACCTTGTAGAAGCGTCCTCTTTTCTCCACATCTTTGCCTGCATCTGTTGTTTTTTCTTTTATTAATGATGGCCATTCTTACTGCAGTTAGGTGGTATCTCAATGTGGTTTTGATTTGCATTTCTCTGATGATTAGTGAGGCTAAACATTTTTTCATGCATCTACTGCTACTTGTATATCTTCTTTTGAAAAGTGAAGCTGTCTGACCCTTAATAGGAGGCTTTAGTCTATTTATTTTTAATGTAATTACAGAAAGAATCAAGTTTGAAATAACCATTTTGTTTTCTGTTTTCTATTTCTGCTGTTTTCTGTGGCTTTTGGGGTTTTGTTCCTGTTCTACCTTTTCCAGCCTTAATTTCAGTTAAATTTTTTCAGTGTTTTAATTGCTATATACCTCTTCACATGAGAATAGGGTAACACTCTAATGATTACAATATGTACCCTCAAATTATCACAGTCTGCTTAAAGTTAATTTTTTTTTTTTTTTTTTTGAGTCGGAGTCTCACTCTGTCTCCCAGGCTGGAGTGCAGTGGCACGCTCATGACCACTGCAGCCCTGACCTGCTGGGCTCAAGCAATCCTTCCCCTCCAAGTAGCTGGAACTACAGGCATGTGCTGCCACGTCCAGCTAATTTTTTTGACTTATTACAGAGATGAGGTCTCACCAACTTGCCCAAGCTGGTCTCAAACTCCTGGGCTCAGACAATCCTCTCGCTTCCACCTCCCAAAGTGCTGGGATTACAGGTGTGAGCCACAGCATCCGGCCTAAAGTTAATAATAAACATCAAGCCGGACTTGGTGGCTCAGCCTGTAATCCCACGCTTTGGGAGGCTGAGGTGAGTGGATTGCCTGAGCCCACGGGTTGGAGACCTGCCTGGGCAACTTGGCGAGACCTCATCTCTACAACAAATCAAAAAAATTAGCCGGGTGTGGTAGCGCGTGCCTGCAGTTCCAGCTACTTGGAAGGCTGAGGTGGAAGGATCGCTGGAACCCAGCAGGTCGAGGTTGCAGTGGCCGGGAGTGGCCACTGCACTCCAATCTGGGTGACAGAGTGAGACTCCAACTCACACACACACAAAAATAAATAAATAATAATAAACATCATGGAAAGCATATAAGAACTTTGCAATAATATACAGTCATCCCTTCATATCTGGGCTCAGTATCTTTGGGTTCTATATCGGCAAGTTCAACCAATTGTGGATCAAAAATATTTTTAAAAAGCAATTAAAAATAACAATACAAATAAAAGACAAAATAGTACAACTTTTTATATAGCATTTATGTTATATTATGTATTATAACTAATCTAGAGATTACTTGAAGAAATATATAAAGGAGGATGTATATAGGTCATATGCAAATACTATGCTATTTTATACAGGAACTTGAGCATCTATGGATTTTGATATTCATGGGGGTCATGGAATTAATTCCCTGCTGGCACCAAGGATGACTGTAATTCAATGTACTCTAATAGTACCCTTTTGCTAATGTGATTATTATTACAAAACCCTATAATAATATGGTTTAACTTTTGCTTTTAAAAGTCAGTTTTCTTTTCATGAAAGTAATAGAAGAAAAAAATAAAAATCTCTCACATTTATCACTGTTGGTGGTTTTCATTTCTTCCTGTAGAACTGAGTTTTCATTTGATAGCATTGTCCTTCAGCTTAAAAAACTCTATTTCTTGTACTGTATGTCTGTGGACAATAAATTATCTATGTTTTTGTTTATATAAAATTATCTTATATAAATGCTATATAAAAAGTTGTACTATTTTGTCTTTTATTTGTATTGTTATTTTTAATTGCTTTAAAAAATATTTTTGATCCACAATTGGTTTAACTTGCAGATTTAGAACTTGCAGATATCATTTCATTTTTGAAAAATACTTTCACTGGATAGAAAATTCTAACTGAAAAGTTATTTTTTCTTCTTTCTTGCAACTCTTTAATGTGTCATTTCATCATTTTCTGTGGCCTTTACTTTTTCTGATAAGTCACCTGTCATTAATATTATTGTTATGCTGCATTTAAAGCTTCTTTTGTTTTCTGGCTGTTTTTAAGATTTTCAGTTTATCTTTGGTTTTTAGTAGCATGACTATTATATGTCTAGATTTGGATTTCTTCATATTTATTCTACTTGGAGTTCACTGAGCTTCTTGACTCTATAAGCTAAGTTTTTGCCAAACTTGAGAAATGTTTAACCCTTATTTCTTTTTTTAAAACTATTTTAAAGATGTGGGGTACAATTCAGGGTTAGGTATACAAATGTTCATATGCAGGTACCCTTGTTGAAAACCCTTATTTCTTAAAAAGATATTTTTTCTTCCCCATTTTCTCTCTCCTCCTCTGGATTCCAATATACATAAGTTTGACCGCTTGTTATCCCACAGGTCACTGAGGATCTATTCCATTTTAACATCTGTCTCTTTGTTCTTTAGGTAGATAATCTCTATTGATCTGTCATCAAGTTCAATTTCCCCTGTCATTTCTCATCTGCTGTTAAGTGTATCCTGAGAATTTTCATTCCAGGTATTAAATTTTCAGTTCCATAATTTTTTAAAAAGCAGTTTCTACTTCTCTGTATAAAGACATCCTATATTATAATTCATCATCTCCCCTTTATCTTGTAAGTTCTTGACCATATAAATATATATATATATATATATATATATATATATATATATATATAGTTTATTTAAAGTGATTGTCTGCTGACTCCAACATCTAGATTGACTCTTTTTTCTCTTAACTATGGGTACTTTTTTGCTCTTTCTTCACATGTTTAAACATTTTTATTGTACACTGGACAATATGGATGATATACTACAGATATTCTGGATTTTGTTATCTTCTTTTAAAGAGTATTGATTTCTCTTCTAGTAAGCAGTTGAAATACTGGCTGATCATCTTGAACTTGCGGGTGCTTGGTTCTACACTTCTTTAGGAAGAGGAAGTTTCAGTTTTGCCCTT